GGCCTGAGGACTAAGCATCCTTTAGTCTTCCCTGTGCTCAATGCCTGGCACCGTGGAGCTCGACTGGCATTTGCCATAGAATACCATAATTGGCAGGTCCATCGCCGACCTCCTGTGCTTTTCACAGATGAGAGCAGATTTATCCTGAGCATATGTAGCAAATGTGAAAGGGCGTGGAGAAGCTGTGGAGAAAGCATCATGTCCAGCATATTTCTTTCCTTAGATTTCTGGCATGTCTTTAAATTCTGTAAGTTGAATGAACCTTTCCCTCAAATTATGTGACATCCTTTTCTTCTTAAAACATAACCCAGTTCATATCAGTATAGATATCCGGCATGATTGTTTTCCCCATTGACATCTGATGTGCTTCTAAACAGTGTATTTGCTGAAGTTAGGTTAAATTAATACTTCACTAACTGAAGAAAAAACGCAGTACAAAATCACCGATGTGTATAAAAAAAATTAAACCCAACATGTTGTTGGTTTTACATAAAGGGCACATTATGCATTATTATCTTTCTGTGCCTGTGTCCAAACTCAACCCTCACTGCATAATTCCCCCGAGTACAATGAGCCAGCCAGTCAGAAAACCTAAGAAATGCTAGTGGCTGCAAGATAAATCATTTGCACGGTGTCATGTGAATATGAAAGAAACATTTTTATCAAGAAGTTCATTCCAGTGCTGAAGATTATTTTTTGAATATTCTGAATCGAGGGGGGAATTTATAAACAACGAAGACCTTCAGTTCGTACAAGGTAATGCTGCCTTTCCATACCTTTTTGATTAAAATGCCACATTAGGTCCTCTCCCTCCTCGTTCCAAGCTGGCAAAAGTATTAAACCTAGCATAAAGATGCAGTGTTTGTTTGATTTGTAGTTTCCTGAATGTCTCCTCTGCAGGTGTTTAGTCTTGTATTGTTTCTGCAGATGTTTCAATTAGTGGCTCTTGCTTTGGTTTTTACCCACAAACAGCGCCTTGGCATTAATCAGTGATAAAAATAAGTTTTATAGTCCAGCAGGCATGACCTCATGCCTAATAAAACTATAGGTTTTCAACCTTTTGTTTTTATAATCTTACTGTTTATATTTGGAAACATTGTCCTCTTTACTTCTTTTTCTTTTTGAACTTCTCGTGTCTGTGAAAGTCATCTTTGTCACGCCTGGTTTTAGTTGGAAACAAACAGGAGCTTTTTTTACATCCTTTTCCCTTTTTTTGTTGTTCTTGTTTTTTTTACTTCCCCAGATTAGAGGCTTTTAAGTGCACCACACAGACATCAAAGCTTTTTCACTTCAGGCTGTGTGTAACCATTATTTCTCTGTGAAGTACTCTGTAACTTGCACTGTTAAACAGTGTTTCCCTCGGCGGCACATCTTGCTGTTGCAGCTGCTTAATCTGCAGGGGGAGCCATTGTTCCATTTCACATTGCACAGCTGCTGAGCCGCGTCTTTCTCCTTCCCTTCACAATTTTAAATGTTCACTTTATATTCATGTTACGGTCATGAATACTAATTTTAGAAAATCATTCACATTTTTAAAAAAAAACGTAAATGAATTGCCTTGGTGTACACATCCTCCCTGAGCCACACACATGTCCTTGTATATTGCACAGCCTGAACCCCCGAGGCAAGAAATCAATTGAGATGAATTTCCTAACGAGAGAGTTCCTCTTTCACTGAGATGTCTGGTCCTTCAGAGTGATGAGATGCTGCAGTCTCCTGTGGCCAGCTGAGCTAGCGTTCCTGAAAGTCAGCAATGATTCTGGGGAGAAGCCAAACTGCCGCTGAACTGCTGAACTGTCTCTCTAGTCGTCTGTATTAGAGTCTGTTTTTCTTTCACAGCTATCAGTAAAATGGGTGATACTGAGAAATAAGATCAGCCCTCCAACTAAGCACTTAAAACACTCCCTGGCCTACTACCCTGACTTAGGCAGCCTCCTCGCCCAGATCTTGTATGCTAACCCATGGGTTCGGGTGAAGGCATCCATTACAGTATGGGATTTCCAATGAAAGAAGAATATCTGTTGCGTGATTTGCAGCCGGATGTCTGACTTTTCATCTTCAGCGTTGCACACATCACCACAACATCCCCTTTACTTAACCTTAAAGTAGAAGCTCCATCATTTGGACAGATTTCTTATTAAGTGTATCACACTTCAAGCCGATACACCTAATAACAAGCTAGGCTGTTGTTGCGATTTACAATGTCATTACACCGTCTCTGTGCCTGAGTTATGACTCTGTGGCTGTCGCCGCAGGTTTTTCATGCTCTGTAACTGAGAACTGACCTCTGGAGGGGGTTTCCTTATGAAATGTCTGGTTTCACAGCTCATCACGCACGGCTCTCATCATGTTGAGCAGCGTCTGCCTTAAACTACCCTAACACTGCCAAGTAATTGAAGTCTTGTGATATTCCAGTCTGTTGAGTCAGATTTTCTGTTTCTGTGCGCCTGTTCTTACTTTGATGAGAGCATTTTTTTCCCTCACTGTGTGCAATCACAAAATATTTTAATTCTATCTTAATGTAAAACAAAAAAAAACTTCACCTTTGTGACTCTTTGTGTTAAATGTTGGTGTACAGCGGCTGATTTGGTGGTCTGGGAGGTCTTTTTTTTTTCTCTGTGTGACCAAAAATCTACTTGAACGTGTGAAAAACGTTTGTAACAATCCCGTTTCATTTTAACAACAGTATTTGCGAGCATGATCAAAGGCACTTGTCTAAATTTGGAGACCATTTTTGTTACAACTTGTTTATATCTATTTATGTCTAGATGTGCATTTGTGTATGTAAGCGTGGGTTGCTGTCTGTGTCCCTGTGTGTAATTTAAGCGAGTGGGAGTCGTGGTGGAGTTCAGATTTCAGATTTGGTTTTGATGATAGTCAGACTTCTTTGTTGTGGTTTGGGGCACGGCTGCCTGAGGCCCTCGTGTGGTTCCCTGCCCTGTTCTGCCGCCACACTGTGCCTCAGACCAAAGACAGCATTTAACTTTTTACACATATCGATTTACATAAAGAAATAATCCAGTTACTCATTAATGCTGATTAGAAGTTTAAAATTACATTTGTTTGAAAATCACCAGTATGATTATTTTCTTTACACCCTTTTTTTTTTTATCTCCCTAATATTATTTTATATTTATGGATTGCTGGTCTAAACAATAGGAATACTCTGTGTTCAGATTTGTGGGATCTGCCGATGATGTTTTATTACAACATGTCTTTCTGCTTTTTGACATTTGAAAACATTTGATAAAGGATAGTTACTGAATTTTGGAAAATGTGACATTGTTGCTATTTAACAGACTCTCCCTTTGGACTCCAAGTGAAATTATTTGAGCAATCAGGCTTAACTGGTAAATCTGTTGATTAAAAACCTGTCTGATACACAGAATGCTACGTTTCCTGTGCCTGTAGTTTCCAAATTACTGTTGCAGAGAGGAAAGCATGCTAACATGCCATATTTGCTCATCATTTTGACCAAATGATGCGAAAGCAAAAGTGAAGGGACAGTGAAGGTGATAAAATTTAAAAAATGTGTATGAAAGTCTAAAATAAGGGTAAACGGTCACTCCTGGGTGAAACCTGGGTGTTTTGAATTGTGCCACCAAACCCAGCCCTTTCTGTCATTTATGCATGTGGAAGGTTTTTAAAGATTAAAACAATAATAAATCCGTCTTTAAGCCAAAGTACTTTTTTTTCCAACGTATACATGCACACTGCCGTTTTGCATTGTTATGTTTTTCTAACATAACAAAGTGTCTCCAGTATGTCTGTCCTACACAATAACATCAACCTCTTGTTTCTTTTCTTTCTCGCTAAATTGAAAAGCACCTCTGACTTCAGATTTACAGATGGGTGTCATGTTAAAGTGGAGAAAAAGACTTGTCCAAGTTGCACAGTTAAATTCTAAAAGAACAGCCCTACCATTGTTGTTTCGGCTAGATTCATGTATGCTAACCCAAGCAGTTGTGTCCCGAGCAGTTGCAGTGCTGACGGACAGTTTCTGTATATTATACAGCCAAGCGCCCAATAAAACCAGTTTGTGTTACATGTTGATGTGTCTCTGCTGTCAGACAGCCGAACAAGTAAAAAACAGTGGCTGAACCATGCCCATTAAAACACCTGTTAACTAGCTCTCACCTACTGCCATTTTCCAAGCTGCTGCTCTTTTATTCTAAATCCTGATTTGAATCCTGTTTGCCAAGTCACCACTCACTAAAGTTAAAAACAACAGCTGTGCTGTGGTTTTGACTATATTTACACAATACGTTGGAAGCGACAGAATCTTTCATTCAGGTCTGTTTCCTCTGTGGTCATCTGAACGTGCTGCTGCTGTGCTCTGTCACTCACAGACGTGAAGCTGAACAGACCGTGGGCAGCAGCACTTCTGCTGGAATTAGAACTACAGACAGTGAAACAGCCTGTTTGGAGCAGAGCTAAAATCAGGTTTATTATAGGCCTGGCAGAATGAAGGATCTGTCTGGTATCCTGAGCTGAAACTTGAAGTGCACATTGTGGAGATATGTGGGGCAATCTTATAACTTGTTAAAGCAGGTATAACAGCTTTTCACCCATCCGTCTTTCGGAATTGTTTTTCCAACGTGAGGTAAGAGGCTGGGCACATTCTGGACAGGCTGCTGGTCCATCACAGGGCACAGGGCAGGTATAATATTTCCTGTTTAATGTTGTTTGGCAGAGCACCACCAGGTCACTCTGTGCTTTGACTCCAGTGTGTTTTCCTCTAGACGATTAGGTGTACAGACAGGAAGTTTTCCATATTCCTCCACACTTCCTTTCAGGAACAACAGAGGCACCGGGTATTGTCTTTAGAGAGGTTCAACCCTCTGTGATTCTATTATGCAAGGTTCAGTGTGTGTGTGTGTGTGTGTGTGTGTGTGTGTGTGTGTGTGTGTGTGTGTGTGTCTTCTCTGTTTTCATTAAACCTCAGAGTTGTGAAGAGAAATGTGTGTGTGTGTGTGTGTGTGTGTGTGTGTGTCTTCTCTGTTTTCATTAAACCTCAGAGTTGGTGAGGGATTAACTGGTTGTGTAATACATTGGCTCCCTCATAGCAGCCAATTAGCACATCTGGCCCTGCTTCAGTCAGAAGAACAGTCACTGCTAATGCAACAGTCAATCAGGTAACTGCTATTTAACATCGCAAAATCGGTCAGGCCCAAAGGTGTCAGGCTTCTACACATCCCTCTAATCAGCTGTCTCTGGCTAGCTGAGTTTGCCCTATTCTCAGTGGCTTCGGGCCAAGATGCAGTGTTTGAGCTGGTTAAACCGCCTGTCAGTATGCCCTGTCATTGAGATAATAGCTGTTTTCTGTCTGTTTTTGTTCAGCCTCTAGGCATTTGTCATAATATGTAAGTCTTTGTGGTTTACTGCAGGGAGATTTACCTGCAGCCAGTTCTGCCTCGGGGAACTGCTGCTGTTGTAATGGAGCTTAAGGACAAACTAAATAGATTAAGTGATATTGGAGTAGTTTATATATTTTATATTGATTTTATCTTTTGTTGTTTGTTCATTCTTTAAAAAAAACATATAAAGATAAGATAAGCTGACTTATTAAGTTTGTTTCAGCACAGGTTGGTACAGTAGTACAGAGTTCAGCATATTTCTGAGGTCTTGTTGGATTAACATTTTTCCATTTCAGCAGCATGCCAGGTCACCTTTCACAGAGGATCGGCTGCATGTGATTTTAGATTCTGAGTGATTTATGTATCCAGTCAGACGCACACACGCTCACACAAAGAGATGCCAAAAAGCACCTCTTTGCATTTTAACTCAACTATTTCTTTTTCCACCCCCGGAACAATAAATCTCCTGTCTTACTGCATATGTTGGTATCTGCAGCAGATTAGCCGGCTGATTTGAACTCTAAGGGTGGAGGCTTTTCTTGGGGAAATGACCTGGCTTACTGCTGGCGCCCCTGGCTCTGCCTCTTTGAGGTGAAAGGGCTTAATCAGCGCTTTTTTTTCACTGTTTGCATGTGTTCACAAGTTTAGGAGACATGCTCCAGGGTGATGGAGTTCCATATGGACATGTGTGTAGAGAAGAGTCATCCCAAATATCTTGTAAAACTGAGGAATGTGGTGGGAAAACATCCTGTCACTATGTCATGTAACTTTGTTTTAAGGGGTGATCTGACTAATGATGAATCCTTTCTGGTGACCTCTGACTCACCTCAGTGTTAAAGAGCAGAAGAATTTGTGTCCTTTTAATTAATGTGTCTGAGTGAGTAAGTAGCCTGCAACGTAACGCCGGTTTCCTGTTGAGGGGTCGGCTTGTAGTTTGCTCAGCACAAGGAAGGATACACGCATCACAACAGCGCGGGCATGAGCGCACTGGAGAGGAGACTGGGGTGACTTTTGTTTTTTCTTCCACACCGTATTTTGTGTGGAGCAGATTCCGATTGACTGTAAACAGTTTTTCCCAGACATAAACGCAACCATCAGGGGAATTTGTGGCTGAAAGTCACATGGAGTGAAACTTTGGGATTCTCTCTGTTGAGAACACAGGAAACTGCAGCCAGCTGTGATCTTTGGAAAGGAGACCGACTTCTGGCGTGGAAAGAAGCGCTTTATTTTCAAAGTAGGGAATATTCTCGCTTTGATAAGGACCCCCACAGCAACAACAACAAAAAAATGACTTGAAGAACCAAAAATATTTGTTGGATATTTTAAGAATTTCCTGGAGAGTTAACAGTTGTCCACTGATACATGAAAGGTTTGCGCAGTCTGTTTTAAAAGCAGGTCTTTTTGAACTGTGCTCACGCGTGTGACCCTGATCTATGTATATTGAGTGACTCTTTTGGGATACGTGATATTTTTTTAAAAAAGTTAATCGTACAAAATGAGTCAAATATGAGTATTTCCACTGTTTAAATGTTTCCTGAAGCACCTCTTCTTGAATTAAGCCGGTTTTCTGTGATATTTCGGTGTACATTCCCACTCTTACTCCACTCTGACACTGTAATTCTCCATTTATTATCAGGCTATTAAGATGAACAAAGCTCTCTGCCCCGCTGTGCTTGCGTGCTGGTGCGGTATTTGCTTTATGTTTGTGTTTGCTTTATGGGCGTGAGTTCTGCTTTGGCAGTCTCTCTCTCTCTCTGTCCTCCGTTCCTTATTTTTTAAGAGTTATTATCAACACCAGAGGCGCGTCGTAGGGGTTAATTTAGCGCCGAGTTGGGCAGCGTGAGGGCGCACACAGTGGAGTAGTTGTGCCTATCATTCCCGCAGAGGCGATGCCCTTTTGTGGAAAGGTCTCTTGTCAAAGAGGACAGACGGCGTTCACAGTCGGGACACAGAGACACAAAGAGAACAATTGCATTTTAAAAGCCTCCATTCTTTTCCAGCTGCCGCTGGGTGTTGACTGTGGGTGTTTGAGAGGATCGTTGTCGCCCGGAGAGAAAAAGTACAGAAGAAGAATACGCGCCGTGAACGAGTTGGGGGAATTTTATGGACAGGGTTGCTACAGTGCAGTCGATGCTGTCATCCACTCCACCTCTTGTCTGCTTTCCCGGTCCTACTAGGCTTGTTTTGGATGCGGAGAGGAACTTTTACGCGTTGTTTTACGCACTGATTTCTTTCTTAATCATTGACGACTGAACAGGACACTGCCATAATGAACTCAATGTCCCCGGTTCCTGCGGGGTAGGGGTCTGAACTCGACAACTTCAAAAATAAGTCAATCTTTTCGTTACCTGCCTAAAGGATGCCAGTTGATAAGCACGCAAACATGGAGGAAAAACTGTGGATACTGGAAGATCTCAATATGATGTACATTCGTCAGATTGCGCTCAGTTTGCAGGTAAAAGAGCAGATTTAATTTTGTTATTGGCAATCGCCTCTGTCTGACTTTTGCAAGCTTGTTTTATGTTTGTTGCTGGCATTGCTGTGTCTAGTTTACAGCATTTCAAAGTTGGGTATGTTAGCAAAAGTGTTTTGTTTTGGGGGGGTTTTAATTAATTTTTGTGTCCCGATTGATCAACTGTGAGCACAACCAGTTTGGCCGATAAATGAAATTCTACTTTCAAATATGTGCTCCCCAAAGTACAGTGCATCCTCTGTCTGCAGTCTGCAGCTGTTGCAAAGTTTACAGAGGGGTTGTTTGAGGAATCTTTCTATGTGACAAACAAGTTGCACTGACGCTGGTGCGGGCTCTTCTTTTTACAGATGGCAAAGCTCTTACTGACAGCAAACAGAAAACAACACTGCATGCCATCCATCTCTCCCTCAGTGTCTCCCCTTCCAACTGGGGTTCACACACAGTCCACAGCTGCACATGTGGGCCTCACAAGTCCCTGTGGGAGTGTGCATGCATGTCTGTATGTGAGAAAGAGTGTGCTATTGTGCTCCGAGTAAGACACAGAAGGGAATCAATCCGTTTAATTTGACAAAAACTTTATTGAGCATGCACTATCTAACCTCCGTCCTTTTGCAAATCACCACTGTCTTTGTTCCTCTTTCCTTTTTGGAGGAAATACCTGAAGAATGAATGCTTCATTCAATAGAGTTAAAAGGCAGAAGAGACATATGGCCATTGGAAATGCTACAGGAATGTCAAAGAGATATTCTAATATACTTTCTTTTCTGTCTGTATAAGCTGAAAAAAAATATTGCCTGTCTGTGCTGCAGCTGTGTCAGAGGTTTCAAAAGCAGAGAGTTTGTTTCTCACCATGTCAACAGAACTCTAGTCCAAAAAGTCTTACACTGTGTGACATGGAAGCAATATAAGAGGTGATATTACTCATGCTGTGTTGTACCTGCAAGCATTTGGCATTGTTTTTGAATTTGAAGTGTTTCTTTGTTTGTGTACCCATGCCAAGTGCCACAGAGCATGCCAGGTGTCTGGCTTTTCATCACATAAGGGAAGAAGCTATGAAGTCATGGAGACTGCTGCCAACTCCAGGTTAAGTGAGGCCTGGTATATTCTTTTTTTCTAGGATGCTTTGGTTTTTCTGACTCTTGAACTGTCTTTGAATGTATCATTCAATTTGCTCAAGAATATCTTTATAGTATGTGTGCCTAAAAATAGCTACACACGTTCTTAATGACAACGTGATCAAACACTAATCAGGGTGTTAGTTGCTGCTACAGAGGCTCTTTTGATGAAGAATGCTGTTTACTGCTTGGACATAGAGCAGAAAATGGTGCGTTGTCTGAGTATTAAATCTAAGGCATTACTGTGGAATGTAGATAACGAGGAGTTTCTGTCTCAAGATCTTTGTGCTTGTAAGCATTGAGCCGTCTCGGTTCCAGTTTAATTTTTGTAAATGCAATTACAAGGGTAGACGTGTGCAATAACAAGATGATGGCCTCTAATTCAGTCATGTGGGAAAGTTTTCTTGTTGCTTCCCCTGCTTCACAGGGAGTTCAAAGGTGAAGTGTCAGCTGCAGAGAGGCTTTACTCTGCATTAACCTGTGGGAATTTCAGTGTGGTGGATGGCCTTGCTCCATACTTTTGACTGGTAAACACTCAGTTGTTTGCTCAAATGCTCATTCATTCACCCGCCCCCCTGCCACAATTTCTTCTGTGCCTGGGTGGTTTTATGAGACAAGGATTCTTTGACTGAGATGCGCTGCATGGCCCACACTGACTGCAATTTCAGCTAGCTATGGATGTTTTTTGCTCCAGGGTCTTTCATAAGTGTCCTTTAGGATCATCAGAGCTTGCAGTTATTACATGTGAGCCCTTTTCTCCTCCATGTGATTTTTTTTTTCCCCCCCTGCGGCAACATAACTTATATGTACAACATATCTGAGGGATGTAGAGGTAGTCCTTCTTTGTTATAGATTTTCTTCACTGATTATTTCAGAAGAGAAGAGAGCATTTCAAAAGAAAAAATTAAGGAGATTGCACATAGGTGTACTGAGGCGCTGAGGCATTATTCAAGCATTTATAATTGTAGAGTTAGGAGGGAGGAAGGAACGTTTATTTTCAAGCTCAGTAGGATGCAACATTTCTCCTCTTCATGTTTTTACAAGTCTGTTAGAGTAGCTGTTGCTACATTCGTGGTTCAGATGTTTTCAATATTCTGTCTCTTTTATGAGGCCGTACCATAGTTGTGGTAGTTTCTTCTTTAGCTCTATATACATGTTAAAAGCATTTGCGTTGCAGGATGCAGGATTTACCCCAAAGGAGACATAGCTGATAGGAAAACAGGAAATGGTCATGAGTAGTTATTGTTTCCCACCAGGAGAGACAACATGATGTCATCGAACCCATTGACATTACTGGTCACATATCCCCCATACTAAGCCGGATATAACTTTTTTTTTCTTATTTACTTCATACTGATTGCTAGTTTCTGGTCTACTTCTTCTTCTGAGTTGCAGAGTTAAATGGTGACATTTGCAACTATTCTTCTGAGGTCTTGTTTTTTTGCTCAAGTTGCAAAATGAGGATTTGTGCACAGCGCTTTAGCCTGTAGGTCAGTCATTGTTTAGGAAAATACAATTCCTTCTCTGTGTTTGTTGTCTTCCTGCTGCTTTTCATGCCGGTGATGTCGTCTGATTAAAGAATAATGAGATTCTCTTTTTCTGGATTCTGCCACAGTTGTTAGATATGTTGATATGATGACCCAGCATCATTTGCTGAACATGCGGAGAGCACAAACTGGAAGCGTAGACAAGTAAAGTCAAAAACAGCTGCTGAAGAGCAGCAGTGACTTTAGTCATGCAGTCATGGTCAGTCATCTCTAACCCCGGTTAACTGTGAGCTCATATTGGGGGTGGTGGGGGGTCATATGGGAGTTTCTCTCTGCCTTACCCGAGAGTCGTATTCGATTGGTCACACGCTCCCAAAACCTAAACTTAGCTGAGGCCGTGCCTCAGATATTTTTACAGATTCTGGACTCTGCCATAAATATCCATCGACTCATATTCACGTCTCTTCGTCTGTTCATCTGTCCCCTTGTGTGCATGTTGTCATGTGCTTGAGAACATGCTTCAGTTATATAACCACACACACAGAAACACAAAGTGTGCGCTCCGGTAGCAGAAATTTCTTAGCTCCGAGCCCTTTAGACCCCACCAATGCCATTTCTAAATGGAGGCGGTGTTGGAGGGGCAAAGGCCAGACTGATAGCAGTTAATCCGTATCTGCCTTGGGACAGTAAACCAGTATCTTGGGCCCTGTAACTGGAGGGTTTGAGGCGCCAATGACGAATGTGTAGCAAGAGCAAAGGTTAATCTTTCTTTCGTTTTTTTTAATGGACAGAAATGGTGCAGATTTAGTCATTCCACTGGCGTCCCTAGACTATAGTTTTTGCTATTTAATGTTTTTTTTTTCTGTTGTTATTCTCCTTCATCTTGTTCTTGTGTTTCTGATCTATATTCATTTTCACCATAAATTTAATCAGTATATGTTTCATTCATCCTTTTGTCTAATGAATTTCAGCATTCAAGCCCACCATACCCCGCTAATGAAGCACCTAGTCAGTAGATGAAATCTGCATGCGCGTTCATCTGTAGGTGCGCACGTGTGTTGGTTCAGCCGGGAGGCTCATAGCCTGTGTTACAGCAGACACAAGTGGAACGTATGCTAAAGCTAACAGCACTTGTTCACTTTTGATACAGGATACACAAGTCAAGTCTCAGCCAAAACACATTCCTCTGCAACAGACCACTTGATTGCGCTCCACTGCTTGCTGTGTGTGTATCTTTGTGCTTCTAAGAATGTGTGTAAGTAAATATTTGCAAAGAGTAATGATCCACTACTGTGAGCTATTTAATCTTTTATTTGATTAGAGACCTTTGGTTTAATGCCCTGGATTTCAGTGTCAGTGTAAGTTGTTATTTAGCTGTTTTCATTTGATCTGAATTAAGATGAAAGGTGTTGAAGCGATTTTCTACAACCTCAAATGGGTGGAAATAGCCGCACTTATTTACTTATAAGAATCATGTATATGTGTTTTAGCCTGATTGCTGTGTGTTTTTGACTTCTGTGCCATGGATTACTACAGTACCTTCCAGTTCTTTCAGTGCTGTATGCCAAAAGCAAGCACAGTGTGTAGGAGCTAGAGGAGAAAGGGGGCTTTGTATCACATCACACACACACCCATTTCTTCCCACCGAGCCCTCTTCTTTCTTGGAACAGCACGTCTAGCTCCTTACTCACGGCCATCCAGCTAACGTCAATACTGCTGACTGCAGTCCAAATCAGGTGGCTCCCCTCCTCACGCTTGCACCCCAACATTCCCTGTCCCCCATGGTTATTACCACAGTGCTGTGCACCTCAGTCCTCACCCCAGGCATCGCCCATTCAGCGGTTAGTAGGAACAGAACAGGTCTGAATAGGCGCTCTGTGCGAGCAGGAACCAGTTAGATGCTGGAGCCTGAGCCAGCTTCCTTTGAAAAACAGCAGGCGTGAGCCAGGAGAGTGAGAAGCAGAAAACAACATGCCAAAAGGTGTTGTTATTGGAACATCGACCTGCCTCCCTGCATCTTTCAAGCCTGCCTCATTTTGTCATTCACTTTCCTATCCCTGCTATTTGTCTCCTAAGCTATTTGATAGCCTCACTTTGCCGTTCTCCTGTCTGCGCAACCGCCTCAGCTTTTGTCGCTTTGTTTTCCCCCCACGTTGTGTTTTATCTAGCCCTCAAGCTTCACCTTTCTTTAATCCTCCAAAGAAAATTGGAGCTTCTTGAACTTGCCACTACAGGCATGATTCAAGCCTGCAGACTGGATTTGAATCTCTGCTTGACTTTTTGTGCATTCAAGCTCACAAGTCAGTGTCAAGCGTAGGTATTTAAAATGGTGTGTTCCATTTGTAAAATGTGAAATTAAAAACATCTGAGCGTGCCGGGGCTGGTGGCGCAGGCTGGTGGCGCAGGCTGGTTATCAGATGGTGGGAGCACACGTTGCGTTAAAAAAAGAATATTTGGTTGTGTGTTTAATTAAGCCTGTAGATGTTGCTTTTGTGTTTGCGTCCATATGGATACAATTTAAGCTTGCGAGACGAAGTCTGCATGGTGTTCATTATTGTGTGGAAGTTTATGAGTCTTGCAGACCATTTATTTTATGTCTTTGATGAGGTTTATGTACTGTATGTGTGGGATCTTTGCAGTGTGGATGATTGTGTTCAGTTTATTTATCTCCATCGTGTGCATCGCTGTTTTTTGATCTTTGATTGTCTTAAAATTGCTTGCAATAGGAGCTCCATCAAACAGGTGGAAGCTTAACGTGATGGAGAACAAGTATGAACAGTTACCCCCATTAAACCAATCCATTACCCAGTGTGAATTCCCTTGCAGAAAGCATGACTAGCATCACTAATATACAACCCTTAAAGATGTCTCTTCAGGAGCAGCATGAGTTTGTGTCCCTGTGTTTCTACAGCAGTCCAAAGTGCCTAATTGAATCACTACTAACTGCAGGATGCTTTGCCACTGAGTTGCAGCATGCTTCTGAAGCGGTGTCACTGGTGGGTGTCTGTGTTTGGCAGGTGGAACAACTCTGTCAGCATTTGCAGAGCTGCTGTCTGACCATCTGACAGTTCTGTCTTCATCAAGGACAAGAGGGATCTATTTAGCACTCTGATTTTCACATCATCTGTGAGACCTAGTATAATAGATTGTGGCTTGGCTGCTTTATTGTTAATGTTTGACTCATACAAATGTAAAATGACAGAAAGCAACCTGGCCAGCTTGTGTTTTATGCAGCTTGTCTCGGTTCTGTGGGTAGACGATGAATGGCTCTGCTGTAAAGGGAAACCTAAAGGCATAGGGGAATTCCAGGGTTTGGAGGCGGGACACAGCAGAAGCTGGGGCTTAAGACTGAGGTAGATCTGAGAGCCAAGGCTGCTGAATGGGGCCTCTTGTTGTGGTAGAGGGGTGTTGATTGGCATGGCGGAACTGTATGCCTCCCCCAGCCACGTCCCACACAAACTCTACTAGATCAAAAAAAAAGCACAGTGTCTCATCATGATGATCTCACTGGAAGAAACTCTCCAGCTAGATGATGTCATGCTACTGTTTTGTAGTTGGGGTCAAAAGCTCAGGGTGATAATAGGAGGGTGTGTGTGTTGGATGGGTGTATATACTCCTGCTGGATGAATTTGACTGGAGCTGTTGTTCTAAAATCTTTGGTTTTAATCTCTTTCCTTCCTGCTTACACGTACACATATGCATACAGTTGTGATCAAAGCTTTACATCCGCTCATCATGGGCATGAATATCATGGTAATTTGGGGCTTTTAATGATTTCTTTCAACCGTTCTTGTTCTAGGGTGAATGATTGCACAGCATACATTTTTAATGACTTTAAACCAAAATTGGGTGCACACGGTTGGATTTATTTGGGATTTTCTCTAATCTGCACAGGGTGAAATGTATACATACACTTGCACTAATATTTTGTTAAATGTCACTTAGCACGTCACACCTCGACCAGATGCTTTTGGTAGCCATCAGCAAGCTTCCATCATGCTACCACCACCATGCTTGACAGGTTGTACCGCGGTACAGTGTTCCTCTTAGTTAACTGCGATGTTAAACTCACTTCACTGTGGACAGTGACACTGATGTCACAGGGACAGCTTTGATCACCAACTGCGAGGACATCAGCTGTGTGTGTTGTTATAGGCAGGTAATGAGTTTCCATATGTCACAATATCTGTTTCCAATCTTATCTCCTTTAGGAGATGAAAAGGTTAATCTAGCTTATCCTCACCAGGACTAAGAAGGTGGAGAGGGATTCTTATTGGCTCTGTAGAGGAGCATGTCTCAGTATTATTGGCTGAGACAGATAGTTAACTCTGCCGAAGACGCCGCCTAAACCAGTCTTTTCTGAAGCACTGTGTCATGGGTCAGCACGTCCCCATGCACAGACGGTCACTGGGTTATTACACAACTACACGAGTCAGTTCACTGAGGCGCTATTTCAGGCCCATAACAACACACACAGCTGATGTCCTCACAGTTGGTGACCAAAGCTGTGAAATCCATGAAGATTGACAGCGAGTGTATATATAGCTGAATGCGATCACTGTTGATGCAACTTGCATAATATTCCAGGCAGTGTGCTTTATCACGCTGGCTGTTAGATTTCTGGTGTTTTAGTGATAATGAATGTCAGGGTCAATATTTTTATGTCTTTAGCAAAATAATAATTGAAATAACATTTTATATAACTCAGATTTACAGGCTGCTGAAGCTCCACATAACTGTTACAGCTGTATTTAAGATACACAGTCATGAAAGATGAATAAATGCCATCTCTCATTTTATCTGTGTCTTTTGAAACTTCTGACAAATTAAGAAAAGGAAATGAAATATCAATTTGCATATATGCAGCTTTAATTTATATATATTTGGTCTACATCTGGCATTTATGTGAAAGCATATGTCTGACTCTATATATATCTATCAGGTTTTTCAGGAAAGAAAAATGTCACACTGAACATGTAAAGGTCTCAAACTTTCATACAGCCATACAGTGCCTGAGGCAGCCTGACACTGGGAGCAGATCAATGACCCCGTTTGTCTGTAGAGGTTGTCGTGTTCTCTTAAGGCCAGCAGGGGTCTTGTAGGCTCACCATCTTGAAAACAGAAGTTGGTTAATTCCCTGCTATATTAAAAAAAAAAAAGGTTTGGGATTCATTCATCATGCTTGATTTCTCTAATAAACTAAAACTTAACCTAATAAAGCTGTGATTTTGATTTAGGTAGAATAGAGCAAAAGCAGCAGTTTCTATTTCAAAGTTGTGTATGCTACAGTTTCGTTTAAGCTACACGAACAATAGTATTTGGGTAAATGATAGACTATAAGTACTGTGACACAGCAAAGCAAACAATCATCTAACTTACTAATAACTTAATTTTTTTTGTGACTACTGGTAAAGAAATCAGAGCTTATTCGTGGGGTTGGATGTTGTGGGTTAGTCTATGTAAAACTGCCTCAACCATCATTTAATATCCTTTTTTGTTTTTCATATACTACCGTCCTTTAAGCCATGATTGTAATTAAGATTTCATTCTAGTTCAAGCTGATGAAAAGATTGCAAATCAATCTGAGAACGTCCAGAAAATTGCTCTATAATTAGATGCACGACTATAAAAGGCTCTCGGCAGAAAGGAAAGGAGCTGAGGACATACAGTAACGGCAGAAAGGAAGGGAAATACTTGTTTGGGGATGAGGGCTGTTGTTATAGAGTCAATAGGAAGTGCTTGAATCACAGAGGGAGAGAGCTGAGGAGGCCAGTCTGGCTCGAGGAATTTCCTCTCATCCTGTGAAATGCAGCGTAATGACACAAATGCTATCATTCATTCGGCTGGTCCGTCTGAGTTATGCAACATTAGAAAGCTGAACCTGACCCTGTGAGCATCCTATCTTTTGCCATACTCAGTGTATGTACTGCCATTTGCTAAACATGCACAGTTTAACCTTTTTCTTAATTTTTTTTTTTATGTGGTAAATCTTTGCATCATTGTTTTGGTGCTGGTACTCATGTTTGTTGTTCCCTTTCAACTGCGAGTGAAAATTTGCCCCAGACAGCAACTTTTAAGGCTGGCTCCTGCGCAGCTAGTTGCTGATTAAATCTTAATCTGATTAACTGTGGGATATTTACAGCTCTGAGTGTTACGCTATCAAGGCTCATCTTGTTTTTGTTGCACGAGACTAAACTCACAGAGAGATGACAGGACTGGAGGCAAATTTTAAGTACAGTATGGGTATGGTCACATATTTGTTTGGTACGTGGTGCATTCGGCTTTTGTGGGGGTGTCCTCTGCTCCCACAGCAAATGTCCTCAGCTAGAGCTAAAGAGCTGTAGTCCCCCATCCAGATGCACAGATGCATCATTGCCCTGTTGGAATGGACTTTGTTGCTCTATTGCTATTAGCCAAGACTGCCCACAGACTGACTCTCTCTTCCTCCATCCCAATCCTCCTACATGTCATCTGCTGCATCTTCTGACTGCATGCCTCATTCCACTTCTCAGCCCTCCCACAAATAACACATAACAAAACAACTGCGTTTTTTTGTCTTCATTCCCCGAGACTGTATCCAATCCACTGCTCTGGCATCTCGGAAAATATTAAAACAAAACTAGGGCCACTTTTGATGATCTCTGTTTATTTCCTGCAGATATACAGTTTCATAATATCCTCCTTGTGTTTTAACAAATAAAAAACATCCTGAACGTTCTATTATTAGTTTAGCAGCGTGAATTTCCTGGAGCCTAACTCAGTAGTTAGCCGATGCACCCTCGCTTTATTCCCACACCTAATTCTGGCTGGACTCATCTGTGTTTTCCATTTCCGTCGGCCCACAAATCACTCTCATATATCATCAGCTGACAAGGTGATGCGCTCCGCTGCTCCACAACTTCCCAGAGTGCCTGCATGGGTTAAGCAATGAGCAAAGGCAGTGGGAGGCATGCAAAGACAAAATGCAGAGGGAGAACCATACTTGTTTTTTTTTAGTTTGTCCAAATTGATAAATTGCTCTGTCAGTGGAGTTACACATGCATGTCTGCTTGTGTTGGCTGCCAGCTAATGTTATTTTATCCACATTGTGATGCCTTTATTGAAAAATTCAAGCTACAGTTAAGATTAAGCAGCTCATTAGTGCAATAATTTATGGTATGCTAGTAGTAGAGTGTCTGTAGTACATTATTTTTAATACTAAATAGTATTGCATAATGTTCTAATAGCATACATAAATGTGACTGTGCCTCTTATCAGAGAGTGACCTGCTGCATATAAATGAAATTCATTCCATTTATATGCTGAACTAAAAAGGCTGCATTTGTCAGTATGTCTCAGCTCTGTGGAGGTTTTGCAGCAGCAGTTTCGTGCCCTCGAAATCTTTGCAAGCAGTTCATAAAATAAAACAAAGGATTTGTGTGACTTTTTCCTTTATTCTGCTTTCTTGAAAAATCTGTTATTAATGTATCCTGACTCTTATAACCACTCACTATTTGAATTGCTGAAGCAAGGACATGAGAGAAGATGGATGTTTTGTCTGTGCTGTGCAACAGTCCAAAACAGCATATTGACAGTGCTTGTGAAAAAAAAAAAGTTGAGTCATAACTTAAAAGAGAAAAAATCCCTTTGCCACCGTGTAGGCGGTCCAGGCACAAAGCAGCCACGTTAGAGTTTACGAACACACTTACAACCCACTTTAACTTTTGGCCAAATTTGGAGCTGCCAAAAAATCCTGCTCTTGTCAGTTAGTCCTAAATATTTTGTAAGATTTTGGAAGAGTCCCATTGGAAAAGAAATACGTGTCTGCGTAGAGGCCTCTGTATTTCATGACAACAAACTGCTGAACGGTTTTTTTAGAGATATGTCTGACAGATTTATTTAAATATTTTTTTATTACAAGCCAACAGCTTATAGGCCAACAAGTCATTTATAATAATTGAAATTCCCGCAAACATTTTTTTTTTTTTTGGTGGGGGCAAATACGCAAGTCGTTTTTTGTCATTACCCCATGGCAGTGTCCTTGTGATGCTGCTCCCAAGGGACCCGCGGAGGTTTAAAATGACAGTTCACTTTTCTCTGCGCGCAGCTACACACAGACACACACACACCCGCCTCCTCAGAAGCGGCTCTCGGTTGGTCCATCAGCCGGTCAGTCTTCATCCTTCCCTTGTGCTGGTGATGTTGTGTGTGTGTGTGTGTGTGTGCGAGTCCCGAGTGGAGCAGCGGAGCTACTCGGACAGCGACAATGAAGACGGTGACGGGAATGAAGACGGCGCAGACGGGCTCAAACATATGACCGCCATTCGTTCTCCCACCAAAACCAGCGAGCTTTGTGGTTTCTGCGCGGATCCTTAAAACTTCCAAAGCCAATTAGCGGTACCTATTTTCGGCTTTTCAGTGGATATTTCATCTTGCCCATAAATGGAGGTCCCTCAAAGGGAAAAACTGAGTTGAGGTCTTTCACGTTGTGCGCGTGCGAGACGCTGAACGGACCCTGCTGTTGCGTAAAGCCCCCGTGCTTCCAGTTTGGAGAGTTGGAGGAGAGCGGAGTGCTTCTCTTTGGTTAGGATGAATAACTCAAAGAATCAAAGGGTAAGGTTCGCTGTTTTGCTTACTGTGGAAAGGCTGACAGCGATTGCCTTGATGGAATTGAAATTGTTGTTTGTATAGCCCAGTTACACTCTGGCTTGACCCACATGACCGTACACGAGCCCTAAAGAAGAAGCCCGTGTTGATAACGTGGTGCTTACTCTGCCAGAATGCCATCAGAATATCGAATGAGCCTATCTTGAATCAATAAGCTGTTCTTTTGTTAAAATCACAACTTTTCCAACATCGCTCTTTCTGGTGCCATGATTTTAAACGTGTTGAAGAATATTGAAATAATAAACACTGTATGTACCAAAGTAAACAGTGATTGGCAGTAAGTAGAAGTTTACAAATGATCATAAGATTGTGCTACAAGTCCAAAACTGGTAGGCGTTCGGCCATGGGAACAGTTATTATTAAAATAACAACATTTCCCAAGGGCTCAATGACCTGTTCATTAGTAAAAGCAATACATCACTTGTTTTTATTTGGGGTTTTTTTGTATAATGATACTGTGTGTACTATTACTAGGGCTGGCAACTCAATTTATTATTGTGGCAACATAGTGGCATCACCCAGCCTCTCAGAGTGAGAGAAACATGACAACTGTGAGACTGACTGCAGTAATGACTTACTTCTCCCAGTCATCAACCTTTCCCTTCACTTGTGAACAAATCTTTCCTGAATGGCTCGAGTTGGCAGGACAGAATTAGTCACACTTACAAACTTAACATGGGCTTTGAGAATGCCCTCACATGTGAATGTTTTCACATCTCTGTAAAAAAAAGACTGGTGTGGACTCCATGCCATACACAGTGTATATATATATATATCTTTTTTTTTCTTTTCTTTTTTTTTCTCTGTTTTAGTTCACCATGCTTTCCACACAGACTAAGCCGTAGGGAAAATAAAATAACACATGGAGTATGAGTACCAAAAAAGCTTTTCTCAGTATCCTATACTTTAAGTACAGAGAGCCAGGCACACTCAGGCTGGTAAGACCACTTGATGTCAATGTATGGATCAACAAAACAGAGGCATTGTTCTCTCTTCATGGCCTCACTTTGGTTACGTGAAAAGTTGCTTCCTTTTGTCTGTGTGTGTGTGTGTGTGAGAGAGTGTGTGTTTAGATTTTCATTTCAAAGGTCACCTGCATCACTCATATCTGGATTGAAAGAACAAGACCGATGTGATCTTTCCACTCTTGACATCCTTCTGTGTGTGTCTGTGCACACACAGTGCATATAAAGCTCAAAGCAGTATGTGTTCATTTTGTCCTGACTACTGTTACAGCCACAGCCATCTCTGATCATTAGCACTGAAAAGGTCACAGATATGTCAGAGTTCTTCCTTAGTGCCCACGTGGCACCGTCAATGCACAGAGTTCATGCTGATTGTTTCATTATTGTTATTAATGTTGTAAATAATGTTGTTAATCTTTTATGGATGTTGCTATTTGATGTACAGTTTTATATGCTGATCTTAAACAGATTCTTCTTGCTTTGAAGTGCATATCGTGTTGTGCTTTTCAGCGCCTTTGCTCTTATACAAGGAGGAAAAAATTCAGCATCCTGTGCAATTTCCCTAGCCGAGGAATCTTTGGGCCCTTGTCTTACGATCAATAACCACTTACTGCAGAGGAGCTCTCTGCAGTCAAATCTCTGCCTGTCCACAGCCTTCTATATCTCCCTCTCTCGCTGTCTCTATCGAGATGTGAATCTCCAGTGTCTCTTCTGGTTGTATCTGCCTGCCTTTCCTTTTCCACTTCCCTCCCAGTCCTCATTCACCTTTGCAGTCACATGTTATTTCCTTGCTGGCCTGTCTCTGGATTGCTGTGCGCCTGCAGTAGAGGTCATTCGGTTTCCAGTGCTGATATTGTCCATTGCTTTTTCGCTATAGGAGGTGAGGCTGCAAGAGAGAAACACAGGGGGGAACTGCAGTCCATTACTGTGTGTACTCCATAGTACGACAGCAGTTGTGGAGTAGTGTGTGTGTGTGTGTGTGTGTGTGTGTGTGTGTGTGTGTGTGTGTGTGTGTGTGAGAGTAAACCTCTCTCATTGAGCTTCTTGTCTAAGAAATTGTAAGAAAAATGAGCCACTTATACCGTACTCCACCACAATATTGCCTTGCCACCCACCCAATTATAGATCTTTTAACTCCAACTCATTCATATACACCCTTTCTCTCTCTCCCGGGGTTTCTTACTTTCCCACAGTCTTCTTGCCAGCTTCAGTCCTCCTCTCTGGCTTTCGCATTCTGGCTTCATTGCCCAAACGAACGCTAAACAAAGCAACTTCTAAATCTGGCTCAACGTGCCATGGCAGCACTCTCTTAGTAAGTTTCATTCCAAATTTAATTGCTTCACAAGTGCCCCAGAATGAAAGAAGAAGAGGCAAACGCAAGAAAATAGATCAGACTAGATTGATCCACAGCCACATACCCGTGTAGTCTAAGAATCACATTGGAAGGCGTGTATTTTTGTTACACAATAGACAGGTGGTTCAGTGTGATCATGCAGATGAAGTAGATGAGGACAAGTGTGATGGACAATCATAAGTAAGGCAGGTAAACAAAGAGACAGACAATTAAGGAAGGGTGATAACCACACGATGCCGAAAGAGATTGTCAGGATTGATGGTCATTGAGGAAAGCGCTAAATCCCAGACAGCTCATCAGACAAGCTCATCAGACAAGTGGATCAGAGTCAGGCCCAATCCACGTCCATCTATCACGTCTGTCTAAGGAAACAGATGCTGATCTGTCAGCCGTTTACACATCCCTACCTGACAGGCCATCTTCTTCCTGCTTCTAGAGGTAAACCAATGGATTTTCATATGCCAATATAATAACAGCTTGTAGCCAATTAATTGATCTTTTTTGCCCCTTAGAGTCTGAGAGAAGCTCGATATTCTGAGCAAACACAGCCTGTCTGTCTTTTATGCAGAGGCAGCATGTTTTCAGTAGAGCAGCAGTTTGCTTTCACCATTATAGCTCGCTAATGACATACCATAACCAGGTATAAATTATGTACCTGAAGGTGCAAAATGGCAGCTTACTGTGTACGGAGCCTCATTGCGAAATGGTGATGCTCACAGATACATGTACACAGAGGTCACATAACTAAGTTGAGAACGAGAGCTTGATGATTCATGGGAGAGGACGAGCTTGTCTTATCAGGTTTGTTTGTCTTCTTTTTTCTCTGCATCTACGCAGTCAGTCAACTCTTTGGTTATGTTTGCTCAGAGGAATTGCTCTTGTGGTGCTGATGGGGCCGCAAAATGAGCACAAGCATACACAATTGATAGGTGGAGATCACATGCGATGGATAATCCATCTTTCATCCCGTTCCCATGAGCCTCTGATGAAATGCTAGCACGGCTGTATAGAATCGATAGTAATAATAATATGAAAGATTTAGACTCCCTCGCTCACAAAAAGTAAACACATTCTCCCCATACATCGTGCCGCTCACAAGATATTGCGAGCTACAATGAAATCTTGCAGACATGTTGTGTCTGTGTGCCTCACACGTGTGACAGAGGATAGAAAATATTGGATTTTGCTCAGCAAGTAATATGGAAAAAGGATGGGCACACATGCTTACTAATTTTGAAATGTACTGCTACTATGAGCTGTGTAATGTATTTAAATGCATGTATTTGTCTCTCTGTACGAGGGTTTCTGTGGACTGGAGTAGAGCCTCCATAAATACTTTAGCCTTGAGCAGTGAGTGACCCGTGACCTCTGTCTTTTTACAGCTTAACCAGTTCTGATATTTTTAGATATACTGGGCCAATAGCCAACTATGTTCCCTAAGTTTGAGTTATCAAGTTAATGTTTACGTTTCAGTGTTTAAAACCATATTTTACTCTAAACAAGACAGGAAACCTTTCTCAGATGGAGATCTGTGAGCAATTTACAGTTGAAACCAATTGCAGTGGTTACTAAGGAACTTCCATCACTTCTTCTTTAACTTGGATGAATACCAGCACAAGTGGCTGTCTGGTATTTTATCAAAGGTCTTTAAGCAGTGAGCGTGGCCACGTCCTCTTTTTCTGGCAGCTGTGGCTTATGATGTAGAGCAGGTTGTCCTCTGAGTAGTGGTCTGATCACCGGCTCATCATGTGTGTATAAGAATGTGTGACTGTACCTTGCAGCATGCACTCTGTGATGTCAATAAGACTGGAAAAGCATCATTATTATCAGTTTCAAGTGAGCTAAAATGTTTCTGAATTGTCTGTGCACATTGAGAATAGTGCACCTAACCTTTCCAGATAAATGCCTGCTGACAGGATGTGAGGACAAATGGGATTCAACGTGAGCACTAATGTAGGAGCCTGGGAAACACAGTCCAGCCCGACTTGTGTGTGTGCGTTTCAGCGTGCGTTTACTTCCAGTAGATTTACATGTCAGCAGAAAAAGGCCGTACAATGTTCTGTTCAAGTTAAATAAATTGTCGAATTGTCTGTCTCCTTGTGGATAAATGCTTGAGTAAATGACTGAGTTTTTTCACTACTTTCGTGTGTATGGATGTAAATACGAACACCTCGCCACACCACTAGTCTGTTGAAGATGTTCTGTACGGCAGAGATAAGAAGCGCACGTGGACACGCGCGCATTTGCCGCGATTAATTATGCTCCTCGTGCTCTTGTTCTTTTCGCTTTTCAATCTCAGTTGCCCTTATCCGCCTTCTTGCCTTCCCGACTCATTTTCTCACTGTCTGTCACTAAACTGACACACATTTGTGTGCACACATGCACAGGGAGACTCCAAGGGTTAATGTGGACCATTAGAAACCAGAGCAGACTGTAAGTGCTGTAAAGTGGCGCACAGGCAGGCTCGTGGACTGTAAGTGGCTCTCACTTTACATGTGTTTCCCATGACACATGACATTGATATGACTTTCATTAATCAAGCCACTGAAACAAATACTGCTTTTACTATCTGTGATACCTCCCTTAGCGTTTGGATCTTGGAGTGTGGCTCTTTCAGAATGCTGTTA